GGGGTGTAGTGCTAGGGGGGGGGGGGTGTTCATGTGGCTGAGTAAAAGCAGCCTTTTTTTAAAGTTTGCAGAAAGATCAAACTAGAAAGGTGATTTTCCTGAGGGGACAAAGGCAATTCGTTGAAAAACAAAGTTGAAAAAGATTATATGAATTATTATGGAACAATAAAAGTTAGTATACTTAACATAACAGAAGAGAAGTACTGGAAATGTCTATGAGTGAATAATAGAATAGTCTTATATAAAACTTTAGGTTTTATTTAGCCCAACTGAGATTATTGTTATAAATTTTGGTATGATTTTAGACTCTCGGCACTTTTTCTGGCTGAACTGCTACCAGGTGAAAAAGAGTTAGCTGAACTTTTAAAATTTGGTGTCCTGGTGGAGGAATGCACTGTAGTTCCTTTACTAAGCAGGTCAGCCTGGAAATTTTTGTGGTAAAATGGTAGGTTTTGCTGATACATTAAATTAGTTGGCATAAAACTCTGCTGGTTGGCACCAGAAGAATTCAAAAGAAGTTGAAACATCCTCAGCTCATGTTCCCTGTTACTTTCCATTTCTTCCTTCATCAAAACCATCATCTGATTCAGTGGGTCATTATCATATCCTTGACTAATGAAACAACCTCAGCTAGAGCATCAGGATCTTTTTTTTCCTTTCTTTCAGAACGAGCAGGGATATAAATATTTTCATTAGCTGCACCACCATTGCTATTGGCCTCAGATGAGCTGGAGCTTGGCTCAATTGCTTTCTCAGGCTGAAAGGAGTCCTTAATTTTAACCAGAGCAAAGAGCAGGTCAAACCAACTTCCAAAACCTTTGTTTCTGAAATCTTTTGATTCCAGTGTCTGTCTTTATTGTCAATGCAGTCTTTTTGCAATCACATACGCAATTTTTTAATTTGGTGAGTGATATTTGAATCAATTATTTCATTTCTTGCAGCACATCTTTTTTTCAGTTCTTAATTAATTTTCTCAGATATAAAACCATTATGCTTGTTCTTTGTGTTACAAAAAACAAGCTTATTTCTGAATGTGTCATTATTTGCAATTATGTTAATGAAATCATCTAGAATGTGGCTGTTCCATTGACCACACCTTTCACATTTTCTCTGGCATCTCTTTTTCCATGCCTTGGCTTTTGCTTTCAGATTCACTATCTGATACATCTTCTTCTAATTCATCACCATCATAATCAAAGAGAACCCTATAAAGCGTTTTCATGTGACGTAGGAAAATCGGAAACAAGGTTGGCGGTCATGTTGGTGTTCCACCACTGATCTCTGTGTTAAAAGTTGTTGAGCATGGCTACTAATTCAACTGAAACTGTCACGAAGAGAGACTTGAAAACTCGACACGAAGCAATCCATTATTATGCAAAACGATTGGATTCACATGTTAAAGAGAGGTATATGGAGAAAGTAGCAATAATTGGTATTGACCCTTTGCTGATTTCAGAAGAAAAACACGATCCAGAATGCTTGCCACCAGTGGAAGCCGCCGATTTACTCTCGTACCTTGTTTTGGACACAAGCGACTATACAAATATGCAATTCAAAGCATTTCGAAGTTTGCATGCTTACAATCAAATGGTCTCTGGATTTATATCAAGTGTCCGGGGACAGATTATTTCCAACAAAAACGTTGTTTTGGAAAAGGTACGGCACTTGCAGAGGATGAGTGATCCACCTGTTCTGCTTTGGATCATAACGGAAAAAGACGGGACGATTCTTTGCGCACATTGTGTAGGCTGTATTGCAGGCCTTGGGGAATGCTACTCCCACATCGCAAGTGTTCTTTTTTATTTAGAAGTTTGGACCAGACTCAATGGTAAGCTTGCTTGTACACAAACCAAATGTACATGGATCTTGCCAACATATGTCAAGGAAATATCCTATGCTCCAGTCAAGAACATAGATTTCACCTCTTCCAAGAAACTGAAACAGAATCTTGATAAGGCTGTTGATGATGTTATCATCCCATTGCCTAAACAGAATGAATGCTTCACTAGAACCAGACCTGATAAAGCAATGATAGACAATGCATCCCCAAGTGAAGATGAGAAAAATTCTTTCTACAGGGCATTGAATTCATGCAAGAAAAAGCCTGTTGCATTAAGTTTGATCAAGCCATATGCAGACTCCTTCATCCCCAAAAGCAGGAACATCCCCACCATATCAGATTTATTTGATGAGAAAAATCTTCAACTTGAATATCATCAGTTGATAAAATTATGTTCAGAAACAAACATCAGCATCAGTGAAACTGATATCAATGAAATTGAAAAGGTACATGAAGCCAGTCTAAAGGAAGTGCATTTTTCCGACATCGAGCAGGCAGGATTGGTGCTTCAGTTTCAAAGCAAGCATGCCACACAAATCCAGCACAGCCATCTCAATCATTAATCAAATCAATTTGCTACCCACATCTTTTCCAGTTCCAATCAGCTGCAACAGACCATGGTTGCAAGCATGAGCGAGATGCAATTAATGCATTTGAAGAGGAAATTAAACTGTCCCATTTAAATTATCAGACAATTAAATGTGGAATGTTTGTTCACCAAGATTATTCATGGTTGCATGGAACACCAGATTTTCTGTCTACATGCGATTGCTGTGGTGAAGGCTGTGGTGAAGTAGAGTGCCCCTTTTGCTTAGATGGTGTTGATTTTGAAAGCTATGCCATGAAGCCAAGCTCATGTTTAGAAACAGTTGATGGTAAGATGTGTTTGAAACGTAACCACCAATACTTCTACCAAGTGCAACAGCAACTATTTACAACAAAGAAGGGTTTCTGCGATTTTGTTGTTTGTGGTTTCACTGAAACTGTAACTGCTTTTATTTATGAAAGAATTATGCCTGATGAATGCCATTTGAACCATGTTTTACCAAAGTTATCCCAATATTGGCAATACTGTATCCTGCCAGAAATCTTAGGTAGATGGTATACAAGGAGATCACATTTGTTGAAGGCAGTGGAGGGCTGCAAATCAATTTTCTTCTGCAGGGTTGAAACAGAAGAATTTACCATAAAATGCCACAATGAAGAATGTCCCATATCTTTGTACCACCCATCCTGCTTGAAGATATCTAAGTTTCCTAAGAATTGGCTCTGCCCTCATTGTCAAAGGCTCCCTGAAATAAAAAAAATCAGGGAAAGAGAGCAGGAAGAGAGATCATGCAATGCATGAAGCACTAAATTTGAATACAATTTGCATCTGTCAAACAAAGGCAAATGAGGTTGATAAGATAATCGAATGCCAAGCTAAAGAATGCAAAAGTGGAAAATTCTTTCACCTAACTTGCCTAGGATATAAAAGAAGACCAAATAACAGCATGAAATCTTGGATATGCAGTTATTGCAAAGCAAATGGAACAATTGATTAAGCAACTACTTCCAAACAAGATGAGCCTTTGCATTACATCGATAGATTCTGACATTGAAATCACCAGTGCACCAGTGGCTGAAAAGAAATCAGAAACATTTGCCCCTCTAAGGGCACTCAATGGCAGGCACTACATTAAATTATGTCAACAGATGATTGGTTTGATTGTGACATAACTATCAAATTTAAGTCAATTTAAGAACCGTAAATCCAAATGTTGAAGGATTGGACCATAAAGAAACATTGATGTTGTTTCTGGTGGATTTCCACAAATATTTAAATGTTGTTCATTTTTAATCTATATTTCTAGCTTTACTAACAAGTTCTTTATATTAACTCCCATTTTACTACTTTATAGATTTTCTCACAGATACTGGTGTTACACACAGTATTTTTTTATAAGGTGTTAATAGGAGATTGGGGGTTACATCGTTGAAAAAGTAAAAAATACTTTTTAGATACTTTCTAGTCAAAAGGAATTACAGAGGGGCATAAATTAGTTAGGGATGCACAAACTCGAATAATTCTGTCAATAGTAGGGTAAGTGTTTCCTTTCGGTGTAGTCAAGTAGTCAATAGGTAACCTTCCTTGAAGCATTGTGTACTTTTGACGCAAAAGTCCAATAACTCTCTCAACATGAATTCTCACATTGGCAATTCCTCTTGTTTTTTCCACATCTACTGGGTCCAATTGGTCTTTTCCTTTTGTAAAGGCAGGTATTGCAAGCTTAGCTTGATACAGCCCAACACTTTCTTCTATTGTAAAGCCCCTGTCTGCCAATACCAAATCTCCAGGTTTCAACAGTTTCAAAATACCACAGTTTTCAGTTAGGTATTTGTCTGATGTACGTCCTCCCCATGCCTCAGAAACGAAGCTGATTGAACCCTGAGGAGTTATACCAATAAGAACCTTAATGGTATTGTGATGTTTATAGTTTGAAAATGTTTGAGCTCTGACCAATAAATTTGAAGGCCTTTCAATGAATACCTCAAAACAATCTATGATCATTGTTGTTTTCTTTCCAAATGCATATTGAAAACATTGTGGCATAGTATTCCATAGATCTTCTCTTTCTGGCCAAGATATGAGGAAACTTAGTCTGTTATCAAGGTTGATCATCCAAGCTGAAAAGATTCTGGAAACTGTGGATAGTGATGCCCCAAATCTGTACGCAAGGTCCTGAAGTGGCACATTAAGCCTTAATTTCATTAGAACCAAAACAAATTCTTGAAATGAAGACAGAAGTGATTTATTTTTGACACTGGGTTTAACATATTCAAAGGTTGCCTTTAGAATTTCAAAGCTTGGCATTCCAGTATAAAATTTCACCTTTGAATCATCGCCCTTAAAATAGGACTTATCAAGGAGTTTCTCTTTTGGAGTATACACCATTTCGGAGATCGTGACGCCATATTCCAAGTGGGGCAAACCCTGCATGGCTCCTCCGCAATTAGTTAATGGCCGACCACGGAAACAGATAGTGTGATTAGAGAACCTTCTAAATTAGGTCGTTTTAGATATCAAATTGCGCCAGGATTTAAGACTGACGAAACTTATACGTTATTTATTGTTGTTATTCCTAATTTTGTTGCATTTTTGGAAGTTTTCATCTGTTTTTGGAGATAAGATCAAGAAGAGTTTCATCCATTTGTTTGGGCCTAGGCGATTTCACGCAATTCGGTACGATACTTTACCTTTCATTTACTTTCTCTTCACCTTTGAATTCACTTGGTCGTTACTTTTTTCGTTTTCAATCATACGTTGAGTGGTCTTTTTGTATAAATTCTTATTATTCTATTTTGTTTAGATACAAACATGGGGAAGAATGACAGGTGCTGTGTTGGCTCTTGTGACAATGACTAGAGGTACCCCGATAAGTTGGTGAAAAGGAATCATGTTGAAAAGCTAAGGTGGCATCGCTTCACAGAAGACCCAGGAAAACGGAAACAGTGGATATCTCTTATTAGCAAAGGCAGAGCAGATTTTAATCCTGGTCCTTGGACGTATGTATGCTCTAACCACTTTGTTGATGGTAAACCCATAACCCAAAATCCTTTGCCAGTTCTATACCTATCTGCCTCAGAAAAGCAGAAGCAGTCACCTAGAAAGAGAAGACACATTGTTTATCAACAAATTGATAATAAGAAGAGCAAGGGCGAATCGGATGTCATCGAAGATGAAGGTGAAATGATTACAGAATCACCATCAATGACATTTGAACAATTGACACGCGAGCATGATGTCAGGTTTTTTACTGGATTCAGAAGTTCAAGAATTTTCAAGACCATTTTTGAGTACCTATATTCCAAGGCTTCAACAATGACTTACTGCGATGGAAGAAAGAAAACATTAGCCAACAGTTTCTAAGCTACAAGATTGGACAGTATCCTGTCTTCAACAGATATGAATCAACGGTTATTAAATTATTCAGAATCAAGACCTGGACCAAGAAGAAAATTAACTTTGGAGCAAGAATTTCTACTTGTTTTGATGAAATTAAGACTTGATTTGATGCAGGCAGATTTAGCCTTTCGGTTCAAGATTTCCACAGGCAAAGTCTCACAGATATTTATCACATGGATCAAACTGCTCTCAAAAGAACTTAGTGTTTTAATTATTTGGCCTTCAAGACAGCAAGTCAAAAAAACATTGCCAACTTGTTTTGAAAAACTGTACCCCAAAACTAGAGCAATTATTGATTGTACTGATGTTTTCACAGAAACTCCCAGTGCTTTGGATACTCACCGTCTTTTATGGAGTGACTATAAGCACCATACAACCATCAAATTCCTTGTGTGCATAACACCAAATGGAGTGATATCATGGGTTTCACCTTCCTATGGTGGTAGAGCTTCAGATATTCATATAGTAAGAACATCAGGTTTCTTAAACAATTTAGAGCCCTATGACCAAATCATGGCAGATAGAGGGTTTAAAATCAAGACAGACCTAGCACTGCATCAGTGCTCTCTGGCAATCCCTCCCAGTGCAGCAGCTGGGGTATAAATGACACAGGACCAAGCAAAAGAAACATCAACAATTGCCAATGTACGAATTTATGTGGAACGGGCAATAAAATGTTTGAAAGATTATAGGATTTTGAAGACTGAGTTGCAGCTTTTATACCTGCTAATCGCCGATGACATAATAAGGACTTGTTGTGTGCTAAACAATTTAAAAAATCCACTTAAATGAGCTTAAAAGCTTTGGGTTTTATCAGTATATCATATAAAATATTTTAATGTGAGTTTTCTAGTGACTCTATACATAATGTGCATAGCCATTCATCCTTTAAATCGTTAGCTTCTTGCATTGTTAACTTTTGGCATTTCAAGTGGTACCAACATGCACAAATGTCACATTGAATGCTATTCTGTTGTTCTTCCTCAGCACCGCTTTCAATTTCGTGTTCACCAAGCAGAACCTTCTCACAAGCTCCACAGTAAAATGTTTTCAGGCCAAGCAAGACTGGACAATTGTAGCTTTTAAAAAATATTCCAAGGCTGTCTTGGATTTTCTTATAGTGGCTTTCATCATAATTTATTTTTTCCACAAACAAGTCTTTCTGTGTCCAAACAACAAAGTAACAATGGTTTGCACCAGTCAATGCCATTTGGCTCACTACTTGAGTATAATATTTGTGTGTTCTTTTTAGTGAAACTGTTTTCTTTTCATTCAGTGCTAAAAAGGCACAATTCTGTACAGACAACTCATTGATCTCCATGTCACGAAGGCTGTATGGGCATTTCACTTCAAGAACTGCAAAGCCATGGCACTTGCAATTAACCAAACCATCGGGGGTTGCTGCTATATATGGCTTCTTGGCATCTACAAACAAGCCACGTTATCATTTTCAGCTTGCCCCCTTGTTTTCTTCTCAATTAATAATACACCTTGGCTTGACACTGGCAATGACTGAAGAAAGCTGGATATTTTCTTATCATATGTATCATTTCCAGGATCTTCAATCACTTTATTAGCAACATTTTGCAAAATGAAGCTCTCAATTTTTTCAGGTGAGTCATCCACTGGAATGCATAAGAAAACTGCTGACTGTGGCGTGACTCTATACAAATTTTTAAATAACATGGAGACTTCTTCATCTGTTTTTTCACGATAGGCTGGTAGAATTGGGTTGAATTTAGTTAACTCATCCTTTCTGACTTCCTCGCGGCTTGGCTTGTCCTTCTCTTTTGATCTGAATCTTTTTCGTACCACTATTTCCTTAATCTGTTTTGGCTTTACTTCTTTCTTTGATGATTTATTCCAACTGCATGGAACTGAAGTACATGAGGGATCAAGGTAACCTTGTCTAAGGGCATAGTCAATTTTGTAGAGGGTTGCAATAACGTGGTTGCAGCACTGACTTGTTCCTGCCATACAGGAACACCAGCTTGTCAATATATCGACTGGGCAATTTTTAACAAGGATCCATAAGTTTCTTGTTACAAAAACTGACACTGATGCTTGAGCCTTGCAATAAAGGAAGACATCATCTTTATTGCTGACTGGGTGGTGTGTATAAATGCTGTCAACAAACCCACTGTAAAAGTATGAGTAGGCTTTTTGATCCTTATACCTTCCAATATAATCATAATCAAAATCTCTAACTTTAAGGATATAGGAGAAAATTGCCCCAACATCAATTTTTGGCCACTTTAAGATGTCATTGCTCCTCTCAGTAACACTGACAGACTCTGGGTCACATATGTTGAATTTTTTTAAGCGGTTTTCATAGTCAATTTTCAGTTTAGCTTGTTGTTCTACAGATGAAGCTAAAATAGGCAGATTCATATCAACCGCAGCAAAGGCACGTGCAACAAGTTCAACTTTTTTCCCAGATTTGTTTAGTCCATGGACTGCTAAAATATCCACTAAACTGTTTCTTCCTAATTCAAGGAAATCTTTGTACTTGCTGAGGGCCATCGTTAAGACCCAAAAACACACCTGGAATGAAAAGAAAAAAGTTGTTAGGAAAGAAAGCTTGAAAGTATCATTGTAAATAAAAAAATTTTAACGACCAAGTGAATTCGAAGGTGACGAGTAAGTAAATGAAAGGTAAAGTATCGTACCGAATTGCGTGAAATCGCCTAGGCCCAAACAAATGGATGGAACTCTTCTTGATCTTATCTCCAAAAACAGATGAAAACTTCCAAAAAGACAACAAAATTTGGAATAACAACAATAAATAACGTATAAGTTTCATCAGTCTTAAATCCTGGCGCAATTTGATATCTAAAACGACCTAATTTATAAGGTTCTCTAATCACACTATCTGTTTCCGTGGTCGGCCATTGTCTTCCAGCCACCCTTTACGCTCTCTTAGCTATGGATTCCACTTGGCAACTGCTTTTACGCTTCGAGTGTCCAAGGTTTAATGTTGGTACCCTGTCAACATTATGCTTGTCTCAGTCTTTAGCAGCGGCTCCTGAGAGGAAATGATGCCCACAAACACGGTCATATGCCAATTTTTTGTCTGTCAAGTCTTCCCGGCTAATTGCTGCTATCCATTTTCGTCCACGCTCTGTACTTAATAATTCAGTTTGCTCTCCTTGATGAGTAATTATCGCTGGGACCCGGACAAAATTTGCCTTGTTTCTTGTTCTGATCTTTCTCTTTCTTCCAGTTTTTTCTCCGCAGCCGACAATTAGACACAAAACGATGATTAAGGATAATTATTTCACACAAAAATTAGACAAATACCCGAATGATTCCCTAAAATATCTTGTCAACTTAGTACCCAAGGAGTGAATATTAATTGACAACGTAGTGATTCTACGCTGCAAGGTTTTATTATGAAACACCAACATGGCGGATAACAAGGGTTGCTATGCATATTGGTCACGTGATGAAAACGCTCTATATAATTAAAAAAAGATCAATGTTATTTTTCGTCTAGGCTATCTGTTTTAATGACAAAACTGTATTTGCAATCATAGTTCATTTTGAATTATTTATACACCTGAAATCCCTTACCTATAGCAAAGACAATCAACTTTACAACCTAAATTCAATAAATCATTAGGGCCTAAATGCTGCTCTTCCAGAAGTCATGTTTTGATTTAGTTTAAGCTCTTGAAGTATATTTTTAATGTTCTTTTGAACTGCGGGAGGGTTGACAGTCCCCTGATTGAAATAGGGATGCTGTTCCAAGCAAAAAAGAGCTGAGTAATGAAAGCCTTTTTAAAAGGCAGTAAACAACAGAAGAAGCCAATCTTCATATTCTGAGGATTTCATGTCAAGTTTTGGCTTTAATCTTGGCCTTCCTATAAAAATAAAAACCAAGAGAGACGTGGTTTACACTTTATTAATAGGCAGATAATGTTACACACCTTTTCTTCAATGGCAGTGAATCACATGAACCAGACTTTCCCTCCTAGGTATGTCAGTAT